TGCGACATAGACAACTAGTATATTTTTTAAAAAAATAATACTAAATTAGAATTTATACTATCACATAAATTAGATATTTCTATTTTCCTACACATTTTTTATATCTTTATGATTTTTAAAATTTTTATAATTTATTGATCACATAACAACATATCTCCTTGCATCGGGGCCTCATCAAAGCCGCATCTGGATTCGGATCTCCGACCGCATCAACTCCGTATCTGTTTTTTATAACATTGGACCATACACCTTATTGGGAAGATGTAGTTGACCAATAGCCCTGCAAAATTTGAATTCAAAACTTGGTTCAAAGCTAGATGTTATCATTGTACTTGATGGACTTTATAGTGTATATTCTAAATGAAGATTTAAATCGAAAGATACCCTTATGGTATGTAAATAATATGTTTCTTATTTTTTTTCCTGGTTATTTTGAAATAGTAGAAGAAATGCTAATATTTTTTATTTTATAAAATACTTGTATATATTTCAAATTACCACATGAAACTGCTCTCTTGAATAGTAAATTTGCAACCACCAAGCACTCTATATAAGGGACTATCTTTTCTATTCTCTATACAAATTTTTACATCAAAGAGCACTCAGCCCTCTCTTTCTACACTCATTTTTATCTCTTTCTCTCTCTAAAAACACGAGACTTTGACGCTCTACAATGGGCTTTAAGATCCGGTGCATGGAACTTTGAAGCATTGAAAAAGAGAATATTTTGTTTCCTATATCCCGATAACGAATTGCCCTTCTTATGTATACCAATTATAGTATTGAAGGGGGACACATGTTATCCTAAAAAAGCGCTCTTGTGTGCCCAAAAACAAGAAGGTATTTGGCCTATTTAGTTTTTTCTTAACCCCATTTTCACCTACCTAATTCCCAACACTTTCTTCTTTTGTATGTCGTAATCCGGGTTCGACTTTGCTTTGTCATCTAAGTGAAAACTAGCCCATGACAATTGCTATTATCAAAAGAGATTATATATTAGAAGGCCATTCACTTTTAATACGAAGAGGTCACAATTATTTTTTAATCCATTAGAAATATAATAGATTAAAATATGTCGCAATATTTGAGAAATTTTATTTTGGATTTTATGTTCAATTAATAACGCATCCCCAACCACCGGATTTCACATCGAACAGTCAGTAATGATTGTGTCATTCTTACATAAAAAATATATGATCTCATTGTATATATTTCTTTATAAAATCGATATGTTTTTGGACGGTCTAGATTGCCCAAAATTCATCTCTTTTATTCTTTAATTTAATCTCTAATTATATCAAATAATATATGCAATATAAAGACAAATCAGAAATACACAATCACAGGAAAAGCAAATAAAAACGAAAATTACAAGTCTACCCAATCGATTTGATGGGACTCAATTAATTATAAGAAAAATATCTCCGTAGATCTTATTTTCAACGTTTATTTATCTATTCACCTAATATTGCAAAACCTATCTTACTACATAAAAATTTATACTATTATATCTCATAACCTTGTAAACATATTTTATTTATTTATTACAAATTTTTTTTAACGCAAACAAATTTAAAAAGGATATTATTTTTAAACTCCTCTCTCTCTCTCTCTCTCTCTCTCTCTCT